TCAAACACATACAGGAAGCAGAGAACGTGGAAGTACAAAGTGCAAGAAGGCTGTAACCCCCTAACCCTGCCCTCAGCGATGTACTCCCTCCAGCAAGGCTGCACCTCCAAAAGGTTCTTTAACAGCACTACCAAATACATGAACCTGTGGGCAACATTTTCCATTCAAACCACTTCTGTAGAATACAAGTCAAAAATAACTTTCAGTGGATGTGAGGTATTAACAGAGCTGTTCACTCTGAAGGCTCTGTGACAGTGGTTCTCAGCCTTCCTAATGCTGCGACCCAGTTCTTCATGTTGTGGTGACCCCCCCAACCATAAAATTATCTTTCTTGCTACTTCCTAACTGTAATTTTGCTACTGTTATGAATAGTAGTGTAAATATCTACATTTTCTGATGGTCCTAGGAGACTCATGAAAGGGTCATTTGACCCTCAAAGATTGGGAACCACTGCTCTGGGAGACTGTTGACCTTTTGCTTTTTCTACACTCTGGAAGCCACCAAAATTCCTAAGCTCATGACCACTTTATTGTATCAGGCTAACTTCTAGTTTCTATTTCCACATTTCCTCCTTTTCTGCACTCAAACCTGCATTGTCCCTCTTATGTAGACATGTGATTAAATGCGGATAATAGGATTTCTCTATGTTGGAATTCAGCACACTTTCAACATTCCTTTTCACTATAAGAAACATTCCCACGTCCGGGGACAAGGACTCAAGTATCTTGGAGAATGTTTGGTTTATGGCAGCACTGACTCCCCTGTTTTAAATCTGAAGTCTCTTCAGTCCCTGTCCTAATTCTCTTGACATTTAATGCATGTAGGTGATTTGCTTACACGCATGTGTCTGGGCCCCATGGTATACAGTAAACCCAGACACAAGAAGAGGATGTTGGGTCTCCAGAACTGCATATAGTTGGTTGTTAGCCACCGTGTGCATTCTGGGATTGAACCCAGGTACTCTGGCAGAGCACCAGTGCTCTGAACCACTGAACCACTTCCTCACGCTTTAGGCATTTAAAGCTCAGTATCTAGGAAAGCTCCCTATCTTAGGAGACAGTTATTTCCACTGATGTGGTGCTTTTCCTTCTCAAATGCAAGCCCTTGGGTTGTGTGCTATCGCCAGTGCTTAGAGCAGTGTTGGCACTATCAAATCACGGCTATCATATAACAGTAAATGGACCAGGTCCTACCATTTCCAGTTCTGTCATCTCTCATCCCTTCACTGGCAACTCCCACTATTTTGTGTATCAAGATGGGTGTCATCCAGGTCTTGGTACTTGCTTGCTTTCCTCCTAATATGCCAAGTGGATGAAATTCCCACCATACCCTGTGGCCCTTAATTACCTGCATCTCAAACCTAGACCTGTGTTTTGCATTTTAGATTTTAATCTTTACCGGGATGTCCCACAGCATGGCAAGTTCACCGTGTTCCATTTTCCTTAGGCATCATACACAACCAACACCTAACTTTCTCATCCTCTTACACAGCCAAAGCAAAAGCACTGGTCATCAACTGAGACCTCACAGCCATGTTTTCTAACCCTTCACCACCACCACATTCCCAACAATTCAATCAGCCATGGATTTCTGTCAACCTGTCTTAAATCCTGCCTAACATTCTGGGTCAAGTCTTCTTCATTTCTACAAAGTGGGACATAAATGAACTCACCATCCTCTTGACTTTTGATGAGTATACCAAAATGACACATTTAAATGTTTTGGATGCATAACAGTTACTGATCACTGTTGCCGGCCCTGCTTCCATTCTGATGTATGGACAAGGACTATGGTCATGATCTGCATGCTATATGACCTTGGTCACCACAACCAACTGGGCCAGGGACTGGCTCTGTTCCAAAGGTGGCATATAGTTTCAGCTCTCTTGTAGTTCCAATCACCTTACAATTTAGGTGGCTGATTGTAAAATAGGAGTAAAATTTCTACTGAGATTCCAAAACAGAGAAGCTGAGGGGGGGGGGCTGCCCTTGAGTTGCTCAGAGCATTGTACTGTGGGATAGGAATCTCAGAAGGAATTATGGGCATGGGCAGGCTGCAGCTTTGTGGAAGGAGGTCCAGTGTATGAGCAGGGGAGCTCAGAGCCTGAAGAGAATGAAAGAAAAGGAAGCCAGGGCACAGTACAAGGGCAGTATCTGTTTCCCATGTCTCATAATGGCATGGCGTATTGTGATTTCTGTTGCAGATGCACATGGAGTTGTTACATTATTAAACCAAAACCCTCCTCTGAGTGAATCCTGCTTCCTTAAAAGAACTGTCCAAACAGTATGAGTTCCAGTAAGTTCTTATGGCATTACAATGAGTGTCTGTAAAGAGACTGTATGGCCACTTGAGAGCAGCAACAGAAGACCCCAAACTCAATGTTCCTTCTAATCCTTCTTAATGTATTAGCTTAAAGGAAGGGGGGGCTGCATCACTTTTGTGGGTAGACATTGAGCTTATGGTATAAATCTTTACATAAGAAAAATCAGTCTCCAAGAACATAATTTCAGACAAGTACCTGCAGCTACAAATATCACAGGAAAACGACTGTGACATTCTGATACCTGTCAACAGTAGCATAACTAAATTGCTCTTTAGATACCACATTTCTAGGTATCTGCCTTTCTCTTTGCCAGCTACTGGGACCGGAGGGATTGCTGAAGAGTTCCAGGAATTTTCATCACATAACCACTGCTCTTTCAAACGAGAAGTAAATTTGTTGACATTTATAAGTAAGAAACATTAGGCCTATGTAAGCAATGCTCAGATTATGGGATAGCTATAGTGAGCTTATATATGCTATAGTATATAAACAATATATGTTCATGTACTTAATTTTACACTGAAGGTACTTTATACTAACCTTCTTTCATGCTTGGCCACATTTGGTCAGGGAAGATAGACAGGCAGACACGCACACACATATGCATATGCACACACACACTTCTCTGGATAAACAAAATTGTAGCTTCCTTCGTAACAGCAAACATGCTTTCTAAACCATCTTTCAAATGACTGCCAAAGACATAGACCACTGTGTTCTGACGATTCTCACAGTCCTCTCTTGATTGCAGGTAACTCTATACCTTTGCTTTTGGTGGAAACTAAGTGAGAGCCCACCTTTCTTAACTTTTTTTTTCAAACCCTCTCAATAGCCTCTCCTTAACCTTGTGCAATCCGGGATGTGACCTAAGACTTTCTGGAATTGGCATTATAATTTTTAACGCCTTAGCCAATATTTTAGTTTGAATATCTTGAAAGTAAGTACAATGCAGATTTTTGTTTTTTGAACAAAGGGTATTGCAATGTAAACTCTGGCTGTCTTGGAACTCACAATGTCGAGGCTGGCCTTGCACTCACACAGATTTGTCTGCCTCTGCCTCCTGAGTGATAGAAGTAAAGGAGTGCACCATCACACACAGCCACATGGTAGAGTCATTGCTTGAAAAAGACCATACTGTTGAAACTATTCTGATGAGGTGCTATTTTACCGTTAGCCTCTGCTCTTCCTATATACCATAACTACTTGGTAATACTCAGCTGAAGTTGAGCTGCTAGCTAGGGCAGCAGTTCTCCCACTGGGCCAGGTCCTCTTCGAGCTCACTGATCACTGGCAGAGCTCACTTCCTTGAAGTTATGAGACTGATGCCTTTATTCTCCTGTTGGTATTATCCCAGGAACTATTTACTTCCTAGAGACTTCCCCCAGCTTTTTGCTATGTGGCCTAAACAGGGAGTTTACAAGACAGCTATTTTCTTACTTCCAGGATAGCTAGAAATGACCTCTTTGACTTCTCTGAAGCTTTTCAATGGCTTATCTAATTAAAACAGGAACACCCAGGATAATCTCTCCTTTGCCATATAATATCACACAGCTATACCAAAGACATTTCTATTCACTCACGGGGGAGGGACGTATACACGGCGAAGACACTGGTGTCATTCTAGAAGTCTGTCTACTAAAGGCTTGTGTAAAGTATGAACACTGTTCTTCAGTTACGAGGCCTTTTTGATTTTAACTTTTTAGATTTACTTATCTTACTCTACGTGTATGAAGGTTTTGCCTACATACATGTACACGCACCACACGTGTGCCTGTTGGAGTCCCTGGAACTGCGATTATGGATGTTGTGTGCCAGCATATGGGTGCTGGGAGAAGAGCCTAAGGCCTGGAAGAGCTGAGCCATCTCTTCAGCCAATGTAAGGCTTTTTGTTTGTTTGTTTTTTAAATTGTGATATTGCGATTTTTGGATGGCTTATTTTGTGTTGAACCCACAATGGCTACAGATGCTGTATTGGAAATAATACAATGGAATAGCTACAGTAAGTTCAGAGAACATTAGAAATGCCATAGTTCTGGCAAGAACTGACCGAGTGGCTGAGTAGCTGGGTTACTATGAACTAGGTCATGAAAATTCCCTAAACTTTAGGTTCTTCCTTACATATAATATAAGGACAATGTCTAAGGTTAGTGGATTATAATACTCAATAATTCTAAGATCAAATCACACTGATCAGTTACGGATCTAGTGGCTCATGATATACAAACAGTTCAGTTCACAGAAGAACCTCATAATGATATGATTTAAGAGAAAGTAGAGTTTTGTTTTTAAGTGAATCCATGCTTAACAAACCTGCAAAATACAAATAAGGGTACAAACTAAATCTTTGGTATTTTATATAAAATAGTACTTGACGTTTAGATGGTACATATGTGCAGTTATGATTAAAAATGGCTAAAATTTGACAGAGTTACTATCTTACAATGAGTTGAATTAACTTAACTGATGATAGCTTATGTCCTCCACATTACAAATCAATTCCACAATGACATGTACAGCTGAGTCTATTATATTCATTGTGGAGGATTAAGGCTCCTTTGTCTTTCTCAAGTGAAGCCTCTTTGGCTAGAATAATTATTCTCTTCTACTCCACAAAAGTGAACGCTAATTTTAAACAGGTATTATTAAATTCCACTGAAATAGGCTCCATGCAGATGTATTCGCTAAAAAACCTTTTATTGACTGTGCACAGTTATTAACAATTCACACTTCACTTTACTGAGGGGGAGAGCATTTACTCCATTACAAGTTAGTCTCCAGGACTGCTTAGCGGCAGACTGCAGTGCCTTCTTCCCATCAGGACACTGCTCAGTGCATGACAAGGGCTTCCACATTCACAGGCAAGGGAAAAATAAAGTCAACAAATAGACCTCTCCCTCCCTGCAGCTTTCCCCTCCACACAATGTGCTCCCAGTTTACAAAATGCCCATAAGTAAACTGTTCTCATGTGGGTATTTGCATCAATCAGAAGAGTAATGGCAACATATTTATGTGATACCATCATAAGGGCACTGTGATAGTGATGAGGAAATTAAAGACCCTAGCCATACCCTCAGGCAGATGCCTTCTGACAGAGAAGGTGGAAACCATGAGGCATCAGTTTGTCTCCAGCACCTGCTGCTCAAGTTTCAGAAGCTGCTTTTCAAGCTTTGAGGTATTTACTCGATGCATCATCAGAAACTGGCCATTCAAATGGAAGACGGGGATGTCAAACTTATACCTTTCATACCAAGTAGAATTTTCTGGAAGTGTAATGTCCACCTCCTGTAAAATAAACTAAAACACGGATAGGTTAAAGCACTGTGTATTATAGGTCACAGAGCCATGCAGCAACTGCAATGATGTGCCAAGCCCAGACTTTGTAAAGGAGAAAACACATAGCTTTTCTCCTATTTGTTGTAGGCCTACAGTAATCCAATGGACTACATTTCCAAAGCCTGACTGGTTTCTTTACCTTTACTCTACCTCCCGAATTCCCTACTTTTCTGTTGCACCTGCTCCATCCAGCAGCAGGGCTCTGCTCTGTTCCTAATAAAATAAAACATGTCCCAGATGGGAAGTTGCCTACAAATAAGGATGTAAGAAGTCTTGGTGTAAGAATGGCCCAGCTACAATGGTTTGCTAAAGGAAAAACACATCGATGGAAGTTACAAGGTAAGACAAAGGAATGGGGCTGAAGGTTAAAGTAAGCATGAATATTCTGATAGTTAACTCTGAATCACAGTGGGCATCAGAGAGGAAAAAAGTCCAGTAATAGAGAAAACCACTTAGGGGTAATGGGTTTCATGGAAATAAGTCAATACTAAACTCTCTGAGGAATAAAAACGAACTCTAAATGAAAAATCATTTAATCTCTTTTCCTACAGAAAGGATCTAAGCAGATACTTTATGCAGTAAACTCTATCCATCCCAAATACATGAAAGTTACCCTGTGTTTATACGGTTTGAGGACTTCTTTGGCTTCATCACAGAGCGGGCATGGATCCTAGAGGAAAAACAAAAGCTGTTAAACCTAAAGGCAGGTATTTGGTATAACACCCCACCCAGGAAAAAAAACCAAACACACACCGTAGACATGTTGCATTTTCTTCAAAGGAAAGTTTTCTACGAGATAGATCACATGACTTTATTTCTAAAACAAAACATTATCACAGACTCTCATAAACAGCCACTATTTCATGACAGATGCTCTCTGCACTTTTTGGTTGTTGTTGTTATTTTCCTTATATGTGTGTCTATACCTGTGTGTGTGTGTGTGTGTGTGTGTGTGTGTGTGTGTGTCTTGTACATTACATACTCCCTATTTTTCACTGACCTATCTACCTAGCAAAGGGTTCTGTCCTTTCTAAGTAAGGAGAAACGTGGTGGCTTCATACAATTGACCTGAATGGTTTAAATCTTTTCTGACTGGGAAGTACTGAACTTAATCAGCCTGTTTTTCCTAATAAGTCCAGAGGAATATTTCTATCAGGGAGGAGTGAAACAGTGACTATTCTACCTTTAAAAGAGGAAAAAAAAGTCTCTTCAATTCAAATGAATGACTGTAGCACTTCACAGTGTGTTTTCAGTTTTACTATTAGAGGTATCCACAATGACTAACGTTCTACATAAAGCATAGGGAAATACTAGGACCTGCTGTGGTTTGTATTCTTCAATTCCCTTATGGGGAAGATGGGGGAGAACACAGACTGGCAGATATTAATGGTCTTTTAGCCACTGTGCATAAGAAGAAAGTCCAGCTATAGGTTCTAGTATGTGAACACAAGATATCCAGCATTACTGTTACTTGTATAAAAGCTGCTCAACATAGATTCAGTATTAGCTCTGCTTGAGTAAAATATATTAGGAAGAGATAAGTTATTATGTACAAGATATACCTTTTCTTCAGCTAAACTCAGGGCATGTTTTGAAAATAAGGGCTTGGATATTTCTAGGTCTTTTTGGCTGGATTCACCTCATCAAATTGTTATTAGCATTAACAAAAAAACAGACTGTGGATAGTTTGTTGCTGTAAGACACTCATGCTAAAATTTCCTGAGAAAGTATCAAAAGAATAACGTAAGAGCCTGAAAGTAAAAACAAAATAAGAATATGCTAAGTTGCAGATGTACTGAATGTACCTCTTTATAGGTTGCTTTTATAGTAAAAGCTTGCAATGAGACTTGTAAAGGTGTTTTGCTTTCAAAGGCAGGGTTGTGGAGGTTTGTATAAATTGCTAATGCAAATATGTGAGGGCATATCTATGTGTATCTTTCCAAAGGCTCATCACCCTTTGGAAGGGATAAGCAGCCCAGACAAGAAAAGGCCCATGGTCAGGATGGCCTTTCTGAAGATTCTCTCTGGTACTTGTCACTCTGTTGTTCTTGAACTGTTGGATGGCCATCTAACACCCACCCATTCTTTCTTGTAGCAAGAAGGTTACAGTTTTGTTCCACAGGAACTTCTCTCAGCATGTGGCTAATTCTGTCTCTAAACAAGAAAGGGGGAATGCTTGACACAGGTGCAAACATTCAGGGCATTCTATCTCTTTTGCCGATGATTGGTTCAGGGATGGGCCAATCAGAGCCATGAATAGCCAAGGGCCTTCTGTTGCTATTTCCATAGATACCTGAAATGTGAGATCTGGCTTAGGGTTGCTGTAGTCATAAAGGAGAAGAGCCAAAATGAAGATGAATTTAATCCAGAAGATTACAAAACTGAAGAGACTGGTAACCTTGTTTTCTGAATCAAGCACTGGCTGGAACCAGAAACCAAAACAACCCCCAAACCCTTTGTTTTAAACTCAATCTGGAAAGTGCACTATTCCACTTGCCTTAGACAAAGAACAAATTCTTGACTTTTACATTTCTTTTACTGGACCATGCGTTACTTATATCTTATGTGCTTCACAAGGTTCAGTATACATATTAAGATGAATGGAAGACTGGGTTTTTGTTTATTTTCTGCAAATGTTCAACTGCTGTTGAAACCAAAAAAGAGGGCATGGCAATCATAAGCCAAGAGAGTACAACTAGTTTTGTGGGCTATTGTCTCAGATAATGGAATATTTTTGGCTCTATAATTTCCAACAGTACAATATTATTGATGATACAAAATCTAGATGAAATATTCTTAACTAGAAGTTTAATTTTACCTTTTGGGGGGTACGATGAGATTCAGATAAGGCCTTACATGTAAGCCCTGACTGATTTGGTATTTGCTATGTAGCCTATGCTGGTATTAAACCTGCTCCTGCCTCTCTCTGACTCCCAAGTACTGGGAGACATAGGTGTGGACCATCCCAACTAGCAGACTTTGTTATTAGACAACTGTCAGAACTGGTTTTAAATTGTCAAGTGGCTAAAATTTGAAAATCAGCAAGATTTTTTTATTTGAATTGATGTGCTTAAAAAAGTTACTTCTGTTGTCTTCATGTTTCTTTTTGATTATAAATTCCACAAAGTGATGTTAACTAGGAAGAAGACATTATTGATGCTTGTACTACAACATTACAGGGTGAAAACTTAAAAATTTTAAACTAAGGCAGGGAAGAGATGGCTCAGTGGTTAAAGCACTTGCATATCCCTAGGACCCATGGAAATGCTGGGTGGGCATAACGGCTTGCCTGGAAGTCCAGTGCTTGTAAGGCAGAGAGAGGAGATTCCCCAGAGCAGGTGAGTTAGATCGACTGGCTCTCTCTCTTAAGTCGGAGAGATCCTGCCTCAAAGACCAAGGTGGAGAGTGACTGAGGGAAGACTCCTGATATCAACCTTAGGCCTCCATTGCACCTGCACACACGTGTATTCACATAGACAGAAAAAGACACACACACACACACACACACACACACACACACACACACACACACACACACACACACACCACTGTGACTTAACAGTAATGCTAGGGATAAGAAAGCAAGTACAATCAGTCTTCATTATTTGTAGGTTATTTATTTGTAAATTTACCTAAGTGATAAAATTTGTAACTCCTCAAACAATACTGGAGGCACTTTTTTTTGTTTGTTTTTTTGTTTTTGTTTTTTTTTTTTTTGTTTTTTGTTTTTCGAGACAGAGTTTCTCTGTATTGTTTTGGAGGCTGTCCTGGAACTTGCTCTGTAGACCAGTCTGGCCTCGAACTCACAGAGATCCGTCTGCCTCTGCCTCCCAAGTGCTGGGATTAAAAGTATGCACCACCAACACCCAGCATACTGGAGGCACTTTTATAGTCAGTCACCAACATGCTAATACACAAAGCTAGAACAAGTCTGAGTTGCCAGAAGTATTCATTTCTAAAATAAGGTCTAATAAGATAATGCTTTGCCTTCTTGTTTTAGCCCCCATACTGTAAACATAAGTTAGTCTCCTTACAGGTAGTTTCATGGGTGTGACTACTGTATGGGTAATGCCAGTTTTGTTTTTTTTTGGTTTTTTTTTTTTTGTGGCTGTGTATTTTGTTGGTGATTTAAAAAAAAAACAGCCCCTAAGCATGGTGTTAAAAGAAAGCTGTGATGTGCCTCACGGAGGAAATACAAATGTCAGACAAGTTTCATTTAGACATGAGTTGTAGTGTTGTTGGCCATGAGCAAAATGCTAATGACTAAATAATAATCACTGAATAAGACATCTTTAAACAGAAACACACATACACTAAGGTTATACATAGTTGGTTCACAAAAAAAATACTGCGATCAGAGGCTTACTGGAATGCAATTCAGTGCTTTTCTTAGGTTTACTATTAGCTATTTCAAAGTTTATAGTGTTTTTAGGACATAATTACCACAAATAACAAGAACTGACTTATTTCTACATAGCACAGCTTTAAATATCATAATTATAGTCTATAGTTCTTTTTTAAATGTGGGGTTAAATGACCATTGTATATATTAGTGTACCTTCAATAACAGAAAGAATGAAATGCTAGGGAGGAAAAATTGAAGAACAAGTCTAAAGAAAAAAATTCCCATTGCTTTTCTTTACAGATTTGACCCTTTTTCATGGATATATAACTTTTTTTCTGCCAACAATGATAATATTTTATTTTTGAAGTGGAATTTTAGTTTTTCACTCAGTACCTTTGTGAATAAGGTCAGCACAGGCAGAAGGGTGTTAGAAGCAGAGAGATTTCGCAAGAGTCCAAAGGAGGATTTGGCAATCTGCAGGCTATTTCCTTGAAACCAGAGCATTTTAATCCTGCCAAAAGAAAAATAAGCCAGTAAACTTACGCACCATCAACTATGCTCTTAGAATACAAGCAGTAACTTGCAAGCTTATGATTGGATATGAAAGTTTCAGAATTGTAACTTTGAGTCCAAGAGTGTCAGAGAGGTCCAGATGTTTGGCAAATGTCCATAATAAATTCGCAGTACTCCAGGCAAAACAGAACTTAGAATTAAAAAAAAAAGAAAGAAAAAGAAAAAACCAAACCCTATTTATGGATTAGTTTTGAGCCTAATCACTTCGTTTCTGTAAGCAAACTGCATGAGTTTGTTAATTTGCATATGAAATTAAATTTCAACTGCAGATGTTGCCAGCATCCTGATGACTCCCTAAAAGTGGAGGTGTCCTGAGATGGTTTTTAGTCATAAGGACAGTTTAATTTTATTGGTAAGCATCCAACACCACCCAGTCCTCCCATGGTAAAAGAAATAAATGGCATACAGTTCCCAGCTGATAGTGTGAACCATCTCTGAGATCTCTGCTCCTACATTGGAAGTTGCAGGTAGAGAAACCATAAGAGAGACACAGTCTGAGTTAATTTGTTCAACGCCTTAAGAAGTGCTTTAAAAGGAGAGTGCCATGATTTTCAAAAGCTTCATACATCAATGCACCAGTGTTTTTATTGGAGAGATTCCAGAAGGAACAGTTTAATAGCAGCATGTCAAACATTGGGCTTTGAAGTTCCCCCATTCTGCTCCTCAGCTTGACTAAGACACCCTATTATTCCTAGTTGTTCCACTGAGCCTCCAGCTTTGTCTTTAAATCTCTAAATGTTACAATTTTACTTCTAAAACACACGTGTATGGTTACCTTTACCATTTACCACTATTCCCAAGATGAACTCATTCCTGGGATGATTATAATTTCTTAGTTCCTTTACCTCTCTAACTCTGTCTACTACTTTCTCCTCCTTTATGTTGGCAAGTGGCACCTTTGACAATTTCCCTCCTTGTCTTTGAACATCCAAAGACCATTCTTCCCCAGTAGCACTGCGCTGCCCCTCTCTCTCTCCATGAGGATATATAGCTTCTCCTCACTTTGCCCTAGGACTCAAATTACCTCCTTGAAGGGTCTCCTGACCACCTTACCAACGGAGGCTAGCCTATAATTCTGTATCCTCAGTCACAATATTTTTGTGAATCAACCTAATGCATAACCTTATTATACACGTTTCCATTTCAGGATGCCCCTGACTATTTACAGTTATTTATGAGTCTTCTACTACAGTGCAGTTCTATAAGATCAGGTATTATTCACACCAGTACTTCTCAGCATATACAATCAATGAACACATAATAGGTACTTAAATAGCTGCTCAATTGTTAAAATACTAGAGTGAGCCTTTCCCTCGTTCTACAATCTCACATCCACTCGATCACTCTGTGTGGACAGCAGTCATTCTTTAGGCCTGTCTCTAAACTAAAAGTTACTGCTATTGAGGGTATCTACTGACTTTGGACTGAGACACTGCAGTTAGTACTGCCACCACTTCAAATCTCCTGTGTGCGACTTCACAGAGCATGACTTTATTAACTGCTACTCTTCTCTGGCAACTAGGTTTCTCGGTGTAAATTAGCCTTAAATTTATTTCAGACAGAATGATAAGACTTTAGAAAAGCTACCAACTCATATCAAACTACAAAAAAATCACAGGACAAAAAGTTCAGATACTGATCCATAAAAGCAATGATCCCTCCTCTACCCTTTTCATAATCCTTTGCCTTTCCACTTCTACCCAGATTTCCCTGCTAACTAAATGATCTGGCAATCCAAGAAAAAGGAATGTAGTATGAATTCTGCATGAATCTGCTATTTAGAATTACTTTAGACAGTGAATGTAAAGAATGCTACAGCAGTCTGTGAGACTCGAAACTAAGTGTTAAGTCTTGATATCCATATAAATTATAAAATTAGCTTTATAAACATTAGAGATATAAGTCTTGGAAATGGAAAGTATGGGATCTGATATAGCAGTGTACCAAGACTGTGATCAGGATGGTGAACTACAGCTACATGCATTTGGGGGAGGCACAGACGATTTATTGATGTTTGGCTGGGATGGTAAGGAAAGGAAAACTTACTGCTTCTACCTAGCTAACTTGAGACTGAGGTGTTAAGGCTTAAAAAAAAAATTCACATCCACAATGGAAATTGGCTTCACTATTTCCAACATGACAAAGCACAGCATGTGGTCTTGGCTGCACCCAAGACAAATAAAGGCTGCCATAGTAAACAGAGCTGCCATTCTTTTCAGAGTTGTTGGAATATTTGTTCAATCAACCACAGAACTAAGTAGAGTCTTCAGTGATGCTATGGCCACTCTGCTTACAACTACTGCTATTTTCTACTCTCTGTTTCTACTTTCCCACACATTTTTAATTACTTAAACCTGACACATTTATTTACTGAGAAAGGCATCAATACTATTCAATTTTACAACTTGCGTATTTTTAATGGTCTAAGGTACATGCATTTTTAATACATTGTTCGATTAACTTATTTTTTTCACGTAGTGTATTATAAATCTATATTAGAGCCCAATATAAAGAAAAAGTCCCATATTCTTCACCTAGACAGACATTAAAGCTAAATTCCTTAATTCTTGAAGTTCACTACAGTTGTAAAAAATTAAATGTAAAATTATATACTCCAATGGGAATACTTGAATACTCTTCTGAGCTCATTTTACTAACTCTGTAAACCCTAATATCATGGCTATCAAAGTCACATTCACCAAATTATGTCTTTCTGAAGTAAAATCTTTATGTGGGCTACTCTATCAATGTGACATTTTCATTAGTTTGATTATGTTTGAACCCTATCTTAGTACTATTAAAAAACATTCTGAAAAGTGCTCTCTGACTATTAGGTCCTATCGTGAGCTGCCAAAATTCCTCCCCGATTCCCTGTACTAGGAACTGAACCTAAGGACTCATAAATGCTGGGCAAAAATGTGATAGAATATTGTTTTAAGGTGCGTGGCTTTTGTTTATGTTGCATTTGTTTAACTCTGTGAAGGTGTGTCACTTGGTGGTCCTAATAAAGAGCTGAATGGCTAATAGAGAGGCAGGAGAAAGGACAGGTGGGGCTGGCAGGCAGAGAGGATAACCAGAAGGAGAAATGAGGAAGAGGAGCAGCAACAAGAGAACAAAGAAAGGAGGATGTCAGGGGCCAGCCACCCAGCCAGCCATGGAGTAAAAAGAAAAGTAAGGTACACAGAAGTCAGAAAGATGAAAGCCCAGAGGGAAAAGATAGACCGGTTAAGAAAAGCTGGCTAGCAACAAACCAAACTAAGGCCAGGCATTCATAAGTAATAATAAGACTCTGTGTGTGATTTATTTGGGAGCTGGGTAGTGGGCCCCTCAAAAAGCCAAGAGTAAAAAACATTTAACACAACACAAAGCTTAAGAGTCTCACTAAATAGCTCAGGATGTCCTTGAACTCACTCTGTAGTCAAGGTTGGCCTTGAACCTGTATTCCTCCTGCCTTAGCCTTCTAAACAGCTGAGATTAGAAACTTGTAATAGTAGGCCTTCCTGACAACATTGTTTTAAAATTATGTTCCTTTAGTCATGAAATAGGTATTCCTGTTATACAGACACAATTTTATCCTTTGTATTTTGTTATATGTCTCTGTGACAGGAACACAAAGAACTGTGCTCATAATATCAAAGAAGCACAATTGGGTCACCTTTGTCACAGACTGAAGAAAGTAGAAAAAGCATAAAACTGGATTTAGAATGTGCTTAAAGAAAATTCTGAAGCCTAACAATACAGACAGTGACTCCTGCTGTTTCAAGTCTAGTGCTGCTCAGAGGCTCTGAGAGAGAAAGGGAAACTGGCTTGATAACACAACCGAGGCAGACTTCATTGGTCTTTATGGCAGAATCAAATACAACATGGGGGGAGGACTGATTGGACCAATTCAGCCTTCCTTGAAGCAAGAAAGAGAAGGTAACTTAACTTTATAGCATTTCCCTGTGAAGCACTCAAGGGCACGCCATGAAAGCAACTGATTATAGTACAGGAAGACACTATGGTTGTTTGAGCCTTTATTAAGGATTATTCATTTCAGCATGACGAGCTACCCAGGCTATGGCTGCATATCACTTATGTGGGACTCCTGATTTTTCAAACACCGTGTGCTTCTGATTAGGAGGCAAACAACATTGTTCTCGTTTGAGTAGAGAAACTGACCTTCACTGACCAGAATTTTATTCATTCAAAGAGTCCTTTGGCACACCAAAGCTCTAAGCTCACATGATCATTCATCAGCAAGCTGCAGTGTTAGCTCATGTGCAACATCAAGAAGTCTATATAAGCCCAGGTACTGCCTTGGTTATTAACAGATAATGCTGGAGCTTGTGCACAAGACTATAATGTAAATTTAATGCTGAGCTGACATTAACCAAACACTATTATCATAGCTCTTGCAGAACCTGTGTTCTATAAAGTGAGCTCAAGGCTTCTGTTTAGTCATTTGTGCCATGTGAGAAGTTAAGTGCTCCTCTTCATATTCATTACCATCCATGTATAACATTCCTGTTTTTACCCAAACGAAAAGAAACACACACCCCTTCTTGGGGAACAAATCCTATGTTTTAGCATATTGAAAGTTTATGTAATTAGGTGAGGTTGCTGAGGTGACAACTCAGGTCACTGGGTTCTACCTAGCCTAGGGATGCAGGGACAAATGATGCCTTCCTGGCACTTCTCTTTGAGTTTGCAAACAGCTGTATTTGAACCCCCACTTCTTCAACCTAAGATCTTGGATGCAAAATCAGGAGAGGGAGGGAAGGGCCCTTGTGCAGCTGGAAGTGACAAGGAAAGGCACTGTACAGGGACAAAACCTAAATGTCTCAGTAAACAGACACTGAGGTGCCAATTCCAAGGGTTAAAGAATATGGAGTGTAGGTAGCAGATAGAATTGCAGGTAGTTTTCCAGTATCTCAGACCCACAGTCATGGGACCTGGCCTGGAGAACTAAAAACGTGGCATCAAATCCGACAAGGCATTACAGCAATGATCCTGATATCTACTCGTGGACCACTGTACATAGCACGCTGCCCAGCTTCACTCTGACTATGCAGTTTGAGGTGATGATTTGCTTGCCAGTTTCCCATGCATCGGGGCATTTATCTTTGACATTGTTGTGCCCATGTGAACAATACACATCCACTTAGGACTTCATCTGCTCTTTATACATTCCCTCAAGGATTCATTGGCTCTCCACGGAGCATGGGATAGAGATCTGGATAGCTGTTTCTACGTTCAGACTCCATAGGTGCCACATTCAATTGCATTCACACATAATCAGTTTGCAATAACTTTTCGAAAATGTTCTTTAGCTGTTTCAAGTTAAGGACTTATCTATACAGTATGATTATGATTACAATTTCACTAAAATTATAATTTACATACCTACCATTTAATTCATGAACAACCCCTCTAATTCTCAGTAAAATTAAGCCATTACATTTTCCTTCATCAATCCTAGTGTTTAGCTTACATCAACTTCATACACTATATACAAGCAACAAAAATTCTAGATAGAGTTTGTGGATTCAGAAGGGTGATTCTTAATTAAGATAAAAGTTATATCATGCTTTATAGTATTAGCAAACTAATGACCATTAGCTCCACAACAGTGAGGAAAGAAAAGATTGAAAGTAAGAGATGAACTTCATTCATGAAGAGCCAAAATCTGGTCAGAATATTAACATACACAGACAGGTAAACTAGAAAGACAGGAAGTATAACAATAGGAGCATACAAAATGCTGTGAGAGAGGAAAAAGCAAGTATTGTGGGCTAAGACTGGAGATACTGTCACAAGAGAAGGGCTTCAAATTATTTGGAGTTTATGAATAAATAGACAAAATAGGAAGTACTCCAAATCATGGGTTGGATATTGATGGTGGGAAAAACATGAACCAAGCAAAGAAAAAGAATAGTGGAGGAACAGTATGGGACTTTAGAGAGAATTTGTAATAGTTGTCAAGCCATGTGTAATTTGTCATGTATGTCTTTGGAACCACTGATGGGTTTGAACAGTGTTTTGTTTCCAATATTTTAGAAGATTAATTGTTAACAGTTAGAGAAATGTTGAGATTCAAATGAACAGTGACATATGTAGGTTTGGTACTCATGTGAAGAGCCAGAGCTAAAGATAAAAATTAGAGTCTTTGTTGGTATAAGGATTGTGTCTGCAGCTGTGAAACTAGATGAGATAATCTCAGCAGTACAGAAAAGGAGGGCTCAAGATAGATCTTTAAGGCAATTCAACTGATCCAGCAGAGAGAAGCCAGGAAAAGCAGCTTGACTGTGGAGGTAGGAGGAAAGCTGGAAAGAAGGCTACCGCGGAAGCCATTGGGAAAGGGTGTTTCCCAATGCAAGCATCCATTGCCCAGCAGTGAGGAGGGCTTGTCTAGAAAGGACATACATGAACCAGAAGAGATGTATCTGATGTTGCTCCAAAGGCATTACTCCTATAACCAATGCCTGATACTAACACATACCCTTGCTGGTTCTTGCCTGATTTAACAACTTTAAGGGAGGAAAAGAGTGGAGACAAATATTGACTGTCTTAAAAGAAGCTGTATAAATCAAAACATAACATAGAACCAAAGCTTAATTGTTGGTTATGGAATAATTCTTAGAGGCATTTTATAAATAATGACAATGATTTGATTTTTTTTTTTTTTTTGCTGGAACTTTGCTTTTATTGGCCGACAACAGATTTACATTTCTACAACAATGGTTTCAGAAGTGAGAAACTACAGGACTGAAAAATACTTTGGATATAGCTCAACATTTCAGACAGTGAACACTACTTAAATGGACAGTACGGTGTCTATGCAAAACTGGACAGCAAATACCCTGGCATGAGGTCATGGTTAAATTCACTCAGAAATTTCCAGAAATTCAAACCAGGACACCCAAACTGAGCTTCTCAAGAATCATTTTTCCGTTGACAGGTTTTAAACAGTGGCTCTTTTTCTGTACTTGTCCTTATTTCACAGATGGAAACAGTAGTCATTACCATTAATACTAATGATTTCCTCAAACTATGTATATCAGAACAGAAGCCTCCTAAGGAAAGTGTTAAGTTAGGAGCATTAACTATCTTTAAAGATAAAACTTGTCCCAAGCAGTTCTGAGTAAGTTTGCTGCAGATATCAAAAATATTTTAAATAAACACAATTCATACTCAAACATATCAATCAGAGGAACTAAGCATAAATAGTATAATTGTTCATTTAGAGCTGAAAGTTCAGTTTCCTGTAGAGTTTACATAGGAATTCTATGTCTGAATTCCCTAAACACGTTTTCTTTGGGGAGGATTCTGTAAACATAGATCCTAAAGAGAATCGCAGCTGCCACAAAGTTCGGAGATGCAGGAAAACTCTTCATCTATTTGGACCTTAGTTTTGCCAAGTGTGAAATGGAAATTCTACTACTTGGCCTTGATCTCTCATTTTCTTGAGACCCAAGAGAAGCATGTTTACAGGCTTTAGGTCTCAAATGTCCTTGTGACCCAAGAAAGGGCAATCCCATACTGAAGAAATAGCACTGGAATGGCCCATGCTTGCATAAGGCTTTGAACACGTTTCTGTCTTTGGAAGCTTAAAAAAAATGCAGAATTCGCTTTGAGATCCATATACAGGTGTAAATACACTTGCTTACTGTCAATTGCTTTCTTTACTCATAACTGGGAGGCAGTGGTTTAAGAAAGCACTAAACTGGAAAATGGGGGGGGGGGGGGCTGACGTTAGAGTGGCCTGGCACTTGTCTAGAAACTGTTTAACCATGGGAGTTGGACATACTATTAGACATACTTAAAATGTTATTTTAAATGACATATCCTCTTCATCTTGGCATTCTTCCCCTCATCTAGAAGCACCATTGCGCTTGGCCTGTAGTCAGCTGACAGCCGTGCAGCAGGAAAAGAATCTTCAGTGCATGCATGCAAGAGTTTTTAGAATCTCTAGACCTCAGCAGTCATTCCTTCTAGATTATTATGGCAGAGGAGTCTACTCTGTAATGCGATGGTGCATGTGATAACGTCAAGGGTCAAGGAAGTTTCCTTGGAAATATTCAACTGAGAAAAATAAAACATGTTAATCAAGCAAAGTCATGCACTTCACAGAACATGCCTCATAGTATCTAGGAGTAGTCTAGAGGGAATTCTGAACTAATTAATACAAAGGGGTCTTCACAAGGTGCCCTCCTCCTTCTAGCCTCAACTCCAAATGTACTGACTCAGCAACTGGCCTAGAGTCAGAACAGCTCAGTGCTAATTCAAAGTATAAAATAATGTTCAGTTCAATTATGACATAATGACTGCAAACCCATTCTTGAAATCAAGAAAACCTGAACAATACAGTTAGCTTATATTAGACAGGAGGGCTTAACAGAGTTTAAAAACCAATTTGAAACGTCCATTCTCAAATAAAGATAGCGTTAAGACTGAGGGCAAAACCATCTAGTTCAAGGAATGGGAACAAAGTGCATAAGGACTTATGGAGCCTCTTTTTGACATTATCCTTCTTAACCAAGATGATCCAGTCCCTCTGATATTTAATACTGAGCCAGAAAGAAGACAATTTCAATAAACATTTTAGTCACATTATGCCCAGATAGTAATACTAGTTTCACTGCTAAAAACAAGTTTGCAATTCAAAATATCTTTCATCTGTCACTAGTATTCTATTTATTTTCAATTCATCTTTCCAAAGACGACCACAGAAGACCTGCAAGGTGTTTGTTGCAAATCCATCAATTCATTGGTCTTTTAATATCAATAAGTCATAAGCTTGTACAAAGCAGAGTTTGATTCGAATGTTGAGAACAATTCACTCTGTGACCAGGCCCTGGCAACTCTGAATTGTGTAAGAGTCTACAATCTCCTGAGTCTTAACTTTGTTCTTCCATAGCTACCATTAATAAAATATTTTCAAATTTTGGAACTGGGAAGTGACTTTAGGAAACTATGTTCAATTCTTTTATACATTATATGTTTTGTTTATTCCTATTTTTTCCTTGAACAAGGGCATATGCTTATGTATATGTTTTGTTTAACACTACTTTAAGGTTCATGGGAAGAAAGAACTACATTTCAGGTAGAAAATTCTCTTAGCATAAAACAGGGTTCTGATCTCTAAATCTAACAAGATCCACATTAGTTTCTATTTAAACATGAAAACTTTTTTCCACAGTATATTTCAGATGGCCACACCTGACTTTCTATTAAGTAATATAATAATTTTTTTAGCCTAGAAAAACCATATATATTTAGAAGTAAAAAAAAAATCAAATAATCCAATGTCATGTCCTTTCCCCATAATTGAACTAAAACCCATTTTCCTATTATTTCATTATTAACAAGAGAAAGTACTAGAACAATAAGAGGAAGTTCATTTGTTTATAACATTCTAGTTATGGTTGTAATCAAGTAAATAGAAGGAAGCAGTATGTACTCCACAACTGTGTGTGTGTGTTGTGAATTTTGAACTCCACTGGGATATTGTTAGTAAAGGAGGGAAAAAACAAACAAAAACCACAACTGTGGGTTTTCTTCACTGTTATTTAAGCAATTTAGCTTAAAATAGTAATGTGACAGGTCCTTTCCCCTTGAGACAGGATCAAATTAAGATGCCGATGGCCCAGGTAAGTTAGTAATTTAGCATACCTTCACAGATAATTCTGCAAATACCTGCTGAACAGATATTTGGGTGAAGGGTTGAGCATGGTAATCCTGGAAGGAGTATAGATACAGAACTGTGGAGCCTTCCAGGCTGTGTAGTCAACTCAATACAACAAATGCCTACAATTCACCAGACAGATCTGCTTAGAGAGCAGTTTGGCGATAATCTGTGGATTTTCAAACATACCCTTCCCTGGTCCACGCTGTTAATCAAAGAGTTCCTTCTAACTTCGTTTAGTCACTCTGTGGAAGGTGATTCTTGGTTTTCTTTTCTCTCTGCTGCTTTCCCACTGGTGTTTTCATGTTCTTTATAGGAGTAGCCTTCCTCCAGGGATATTGCCTTTTGTCTATAGCATGAACTGAGTGTATGAAATGTCAGATACTAGAAACAGAAGTGATTAAGACACTGTCCCTGCCCTTAAGGAACAAAGTAACCCAGTCATTGCAGGATAGTACTGATGTTATGTGTTGGATACAATCTGACAGAGTTCAAGTGCAGGAAGTTCCATCCCAATACTGCAATGGCAAGGTGACGAAACCTTTAAGAAGTAGAGCCAAGAAGATATTTGGTCATGGAAGATTATGGTGAAAAGGGGAGGGGGAGTTAATGTTGTTCTCTCTGACTGAAAAGGAGCCCTTTCTGTACAGGATTGGTCCCCTTTCTAGTTTTCTAGTGTGATGGGTCATGGAGGGGCGGGAGTGGGGGTGGGGGTGGGGGGGTGGGGGGTGGGGTGGGGTGGGGGTGGGGGGTGGGGTGGGGAGGACCTTGTCAAGCCTTTAGCATCAGTGTATTTACTTCTTCCGGCCTCTAGAATCACAAGCCAAAGACTGACACCTTCTAAAAACAGCAGACATTTTAAGTTTTGTTTACATCTCTGGGAAGTTAACTCTTTGATAAGAATTAGAAAAAGAAGAGAGGTACTGTCTTTACGCTTTCTGATCCCTGTGCCTACCTGTACAGGAATGGGTCAGAGATGTGGAATCATGTATTTGTGTGAATTAGCCACAATGTCTCATTTTATATACCCCCCCCCCATAATGACTTTGTCCCTAGAACTTGCTAGATATACAAAGAGAAGAGCTGGAGAAGCTCACTTGGTCCTGCTACATGTATAGCCACACATACCTGAGCCAGAGGATATCCCTCTTCCAAACAGCAGCAAACAGAAATAAAATCTCATTCAGGAACTATTCCAGGTGGCTTTTGGTTTCTTCTGATATATATCCCTTGAATAAAACAGTGCAAAATTTGTATTTACAATAAGGATCATAAAAACCCCTGACTACATCACACATCACCTCAACATCTTACTATATTTGAAGTCCCAAGCACGAGAAATAGTAACTAAATATATTGGCCAGTTAGAGCATATAAAAAATATGAAATACAAAAAAACCCTTTAATTAAAACAAACTTATTTTGAAGGAATCTCTCCATAGTGTCTCTCAGTACAGTGCCCCTGTGAATACAATACTGTACTGGAACAAAACAGAAACATAGCTCAAAATATTCTCAAGTTAGAATAATATTCATTCCTATTACTTACCTGCCAATAGTCTATCTAAATAAAACTGCATATTCCTCTAGCAAAAGAGACAAAAATTACTGATCCTTCTTCAGCAGGTAAAGCTTCAAGTGGACCACAGCAAACAGGGAGGAAAATGTGGAGCCTGCTTAAAGTACTCTATAAATTTTAATTTTCACAACTGTACCTTTCTGGTTCCAGGAAATTCCTCATATAGCAGGACCCCAGGTTATTAGATTTCGACACCTTACACAGAACCATGATTAGTTCTGCCTTATCTCAGGAAAACAATAACTCAGCATTTTCCAGGACATACTTGTTTCCATGCTTTCTGCTGCTACTGGTAGTGGTTTGTTCAAACAAGGTCACTATGTCTTCAGGCTGGTCTAGAACTTAAGACCTGCCAGCCTAAACCATAGTGCTGGGATTGTAGATAAGCACCACCACCAGGCTGCTTCCCTTGCATTTTATTCTCTGCTGTTTACCTGTTAATCAAACCATGCTAAATATTGGCAGAGTGCATCATGTGCATTTTAATCAGCTATTCCACAGAATCTTACTGAATGAGGTAACTGTGGCCTCTAAGAGCCTTGGTTAATTAGCCACTCTGGCTGTCTCAGGAGAACCTTGAACAAGTTGAGATGGCTCTTAGAAGCCACAGGTTGGGAAATTGACTACCAATGTCAGGATATAACATATTCTAAGTACCATCCCTGGAAATGGGAATTTTTTGGGTCATGCCAGACCACGTTTTTGTTTTTTTTTTGTTTTTGTTTTTGAGAAGAACACTAGAAATGTTTTATATAAACGTGATTAGTAAGGATAAGGCAAACCCCATTTAAAGGGAGCCTTAGAAACAATCAGATACTTATTCACATCAGTGACAACTGTCAGAGACTTTATACCCTTGGACTCATTAAAATTTGTATTAGTTGGTATTTGTCAGGGGTGAGCGACAGGGCTAAGTATTTGTTGAGCACTGTAATGTCTGATTTATTCTATTGTCCACAGCCCAGAGGGCTGCTTCTGCCCAATAAAGCAAAGTCGGGGTCCAGACAGCCGGGTCCGGAGGGGCCTGGCACTCACAATGTCCCTTCCTGCACTTTTCAACCTTTTCACCCCAATTGAAGGTCAACATGGCTGCTCAAAACACTTATTTAAAAAGGCAGTCAACTCAGCAGGCTGTCAAGTGTGATATGGCCACTTCATAGAATTCAATTAAACCCGGGACCAGGGCATCTGTGAATCACTGGAAGAAGCATGAGTTGAGACATTTTCTGCTTTCTTCGAAAAGCTGTATTTTTCCCTCCCGTCATTTATTCGGTTCCCAGAGCGCCATCACAAGCGCGCGTTTACAATCTCCCCCCAGTGGCTCAGGGATTTATAGCTCTCGGCTTAATTAAATCCCCTCTAACTGCAATGGAGGTCTGCGGCGCGCCGCACGGCGAAGGGCTCGCGGCCTCCTCCAGCGGGGGCGAGCTACCACCCGGCAGACAGAGCGTTCGCCGTAACGCCAGCGCCATAACCCACCTCAGCCTCAGGCCGCCCGGCCGCCGCTTCCGCCCGCCGCACTTCCGCCGCGAGCAGCACTTCCGGCCCGCGGGCGCCGCCCTGCCGCCTGGGCTCCTTCCTGTGGGTCCTTGTGTGTATTCCCGGCGGCGGGCAGCACCTGAGCCAGGCTAAAATGTATTGGAAAGAGAGAAAAGAGGGAGGGAAAGAAAGGAAGGGAAGCAGGGAAGAAGCAAGAAGAGGCCCTGTGTGTTAAGGAAACAACCTGCGGGCTGAGGCAGCATTTTGAGACTGGCCATTTTAACCTCTCCCTGTATGCGTTCATTCATTTATTATGGTAGTATTTACTGTTTTCCTCTTGCCTTGGGTTGGGGCTGAACTGGGTTATAAAGAACAGGATGAGCAAAACTGGGAGATGTACCTCCCAGGTTTACAACCTTATAACCTTGGAGGCAAGGCAGACATGGGGGAAATGATCCTTTAAACAGGTAATGCATTTCAGGCTAAGCGGTTTTGAACAGAAGGAATATGACTTGTGAAAAGGCAGGAGTTAGGAGTGTCAGCCAGTTAGAGAAGTAGCTTTTGGACTAGCATATGACATACCCCGGGACAGGGACAGAACTCTGTACTGCATGGGCGGTGCACAGACAGCTGGCTAAAGCATAAAGGGGATTGGGGACTAGAGGTGAAAGGCATAGGAGTATAGAGTCAGGCCAGGTAGCCAAGGCAGGCTTGTGTTATAGGCAGCTGGAATACTTCCTGATTAACTATGTCCCTATGCAGAAAGGGGAGCTGGAATAATTGTTTTTGTCTTAGTAAAGGTTCTCTCAGCTTTGGGAAGAGAATGGCTTAGTATGGGTGGGAGAAGCAGAGTCATCCGGAGATGACTAAGTAGTATAGACTTCAGGTGTGGTAGTATTGTAAGTAATAAGAAAATGATGGGTAATAAGTATAATAATACTCAAATTAATATTTATTGATGGCTCATCCAAAGCTTGGTACTCATTAGCATGTTTAATCCTGTGAATGGTCTTATTAAGTACCGTCTTGTGGATGATGAAATGGAGGCTTAATAACTTGTCCATATCCTCACAGATAGAAAATAGTATATTGGGATTTCATTTCTGCTGCCAGTACTTGTGGGCTCATCACTGAACAAAAATCACTGTGTATTTAGTGCTTAAAAAAAAGATAAAATAGGTCAGAAATGAATCCCTTAAACAAATCATATTGATTATATGATATTGGCAGAGGACACAATTTGAAAGTAGAATTTTCAAGTTCATACTTTATCATTTCAGCATTTGTTAGCAACCCAAAGAGGATTTGGGGCCTGTAAATAGACCTATGATTATTGTTTTTTTGTTGATACACTCTTGATAAATCCTAATCTTTCTGAGCAGGAAAATGTCATTCTATAACAGTTACAAATAGAGTATTTCTTAAGAACTAATGTTGTGTCTAGCTATAAGTATCCTGGTAAAGCATGCATATTGTACATTTTGTGGAGTGATAGAAAGATTGTCCTGGAAATGTAACTTTAGGTCAGCTTCCAAATTTCATTTTTATTTTGTTGGAAAAATGAGCTTTGTGTAGTCATTGGATTTATGAAATTTGATTTTACAAACTGAAGATGAATGGTTTTCCCAAAGGTCACAATGAAAGCTTTGCAGCATTGGTTACAGGCAAATTTCCCCAAGGAGTCAAAGTTCATTTCCAGAGTTTGCATTTAACTAGTAAGATTTTTTGAGTGGCTATACAGTTTGTAAGTGGTAGCAGAGGACTTGAAATGCATACAAACAGTTTCACTTGAGAGTGGGAGTTCCTTGAAATGGTTATGAATCCCTGAGGCTTCAGGTTATCAGTGTCCAGCCATCTTGGGAATGTCTGTGTTAGGCCCTTTATCCCAGAAGAATAGTTTGGCCTCTAGGTCCAGGTTTCCTGCCTCCCTGTGCCAAGCAAAGGACCTCTGTTTGAAAGAATTTCTGGTGTTTGAACAGGGAAAATAATTATCTCAAAAAATTGGTCAAAGCAAAATTATAAACATTTATTCAAGGGTAACATGTAGAACATGTGTGGGTGTTACTAAGGACTGGATTTGGCACTCATTGAGAACAACACTCGGAGTCTTGTGACAGGAAGTTTCAGAGAAGCAACTGAACTGCAGGGACACCCGGGCCCCAGGCGAGAGACATGCGGGTCTGCTTAGACGTGGAGATTGATCCTGTGAGAGAAAGGGTTACTCATGGCCGATGATCTAAAGTGATTCCTGTACAAAAAGTTGCCAAGCGCTAAAGGGCTCCATGCATTTGTTGTATCAAGTAGAGACAGGGTGCCTGTCATTACAGTGGCTAACACAGTGCTCCAGAGGGTGCCCTGAGGCCTGGCTTCTTATCTGCTTTTGCCCTTAAAACAGACCAAGGCAGCAAACTCTGACTTTCAAAAAATAAAGGTATCATCTGTTACTATAATACCTACCAGGTGAGGTGGTTCATTTCAATCGTTTACTGCTGGTGGTGAGTTTCATAGCCAGCAATAATGCCAACACAGGACTAATTGTCAGCCTAGAAAAGGAACGGGCTCCGTTATTTGAAAACCTGATAGAAAGCTGTAGAAGTGTGTTAATGTAATGGTGATTTTGATGTATACCTTGTCTTCTTTACAACAACATTGTACCAGTCAGCAATCTTTAGACCACAGTAATACTTTATCTATGTATTCAAAGGACTGCTTTTCCACCTTACACTAAAGAAGAGCCTATAGTTATAACTGATAGAAGATTCTATTGTTATATTTACCTGTATAAAGTCATTTCTTACTTAGTGAGATCTGGGAACACCAAAAAATGGTTCTTTACAGTTCAGCTCCCATGAAGTTAGTGTGGATGCCTGATAATGAGAGTGGTGTTCTGTCCAGTGCATCGGGATCAGAACAGTAGTACCCTGATGCTCCGGGACCAGCAAGCATACCTACTTCACTGTGTTCCCCACACCTGCTGCACAGTGTTCCTGCTCTACAAGACACAGAGACTCTTTTCCTGAGAATAATAATGAGAACATGTTTTTCTTACGATTATATTTTATTTCTTCGAATTGAGTGTGAGGAAGATGAATGGCTTAGAAAAATAATAAAGTAAGTACAATCACCATCTTTCCTCTGTATATGATCTCAGTGTAGATGAGTATTATAGATGGATTTGATCTTCGAGGGTGCTACTCTTCAGTGAGAATGAAAAATCACTGCTCATGATTTCTCTTCCACTTTCTGTAACAGTGCTTCCATGATTGTGTTCTCTCTACATTGGAAATGCTGTGTTACTGAATTCTGTTTCCAGTATCAGTATGTATATAAAATGACAGTATAGCCATTTTTCATTCACAAATATAAATAACATAGTATTTTTAAAATTACAAAAAAAGAAAACAGCACTCTATTGAGACAGCTTAAATACATGAGAGCTACTACTGAGACATTGTAGTGAATTTGATGGTGACTCTAGCTAAATTAAAAAACATTACAAATTTATTTTTATAGAAAAAATATTAAATAGGAGTTATTCACAGTTTTTCTTTTTAGGTTTCAAACGATGTAAAGGTAAGATTAAAGGTCTTGAGACAGCACTGGGTCAGTATATTTTGTTTATTGGAAGTATTATTTTCATAGGTCTTCTATGGAATGCAGTTGTAGTGTTTGTCCTGAGAACTGAAGCAAGTCTGTGTTCTGACTACTGCAGGACCTGAGTTCTATACTTAGACCTCACGACTGTTATCTCATTGGTTATGTCTGAGGCTTCAGTCTAACTCTAGAAACAGCCTGCTTAGAAGGGCTGGTCTGTAACTCCTGAGATAACTCGAGAATACTTTAGACGATACCCTATCTGTTCTTCCAGAAATGACTTGGGAGTCAGGCCTTCCATTTAAGGCCTCATGAAAGCTAAACATGTGGGTGTGGGAGGTGGTGGCTTCACTCATTCCCCTTGGGTTTGTCTCTGAGAAAGCCGAAGTAAAGAAATGGCTGTTGGTATGAAAGTGTTCCCTTCAGAATGCTTTAAAAAAATAATGTCTTGACAACGAGTGATTGTCATGCCTGCCCTATTTTACTGTAACCTGGCTTTATGCTGTCACTCAAAGAACATGTAACCTGGACTTTGACTAGGAGGGGCTATCTCAGTAATTGCCACAGCTGGGTGATACGATGGTAGAAACATTCAGAAACCTGGGAGGAGTTCCCTGGTGTTTTTCTGGTCTTTATGATGAGCATATTTGTTTATCTCATCAGTCACTCTCTCTAGGTACTGCCAACTGCAGGAAATGATCTGAAAGGGCCAGATATTAGGTTATGTTTAAGGTCATAGAGAAAAACAGTGGCAACTTCCCAACGAAAAGATGGGCTTCTGAGTCTGAGATGTGTTGGGTTATTGGGTCACTGCTGACTGCCGCCAGGCCAACTATTGTAAGAGGAGACAGAATTATAAGCCTGTTCTACTAGGAAGGAACAGACTACAGAAACCTGATTTTTATATCCTCTATGACATTAAAAAAAAAGCTCTGCTCTTGTTCCAGACATTTAGAGGAGAGTGAATGAAAGTTTCAAAGGGGAAAAATGCTTATTTGTTTTAAGGCTTGCTCAAGTAATCCACTTATGCCATTTACATTAGTTAAGCAACCTTTCCATGTAAACACCATTAATTATGTAGTATAAGAGTCAAATAAAAATGCTAAAAAATAAACGTAATTGTAGAATAAATTAGTGTAGCTTGAGTGCTCATACATTGTAGAGAAATTGTAGACTTGTGGGAATGGATGTGTGATTTTTCTATTGTTTGAGCTATAAGATGGAACCAACAGAAATGACATTTCACAGATGGATACCAGTGCTGCTAAGGTTTAAACTCACACTGGCAGTGAAATTACAGTTTTCACAGGGGCCTTGACTCCAGCCTCTCTATTTAGCCATCTTTAAAAGACCATGAGGTGAGATGGGGTTTGAGTGCCCCGTGGATCTCCCCAGAAGATCTGTGAGAATCAGACCATTGTTGTCAAGTCCAGAATGAGTAGCCGCCACCTCCTTTCGAGTGTAAT